GGGCCCCCAGTGTCATATGGTCCCCTAGCGGCACTGGGAGCAGACACCCCTCCCCCTCCTCCAAAAAAAAAGAAGGAAAAAGAAAACAGTATTACAAGTCAATCTCACCGGTAACAATCGAACTCTTCACAAAAAGCTACTCTTTCAACAATTTGCAACAAGTGAAGGAGCTGCCAGTTACAATGTAACATGTTGCTTTAGGGCCCCTGCCTTCCCCTTAAAGCTGCAGGATCAGGATCAGCCACACCCAGAGTGCTTGAACTTCTCTCGAGGCCCCCCCCCCTCCCCCCCCCCCGAGAATCCGCAGGAGGTGAGCTTCCCCTCTCCCTGTGACTCGGACCCAAGACCTTGTTTTATTTCCTTGGCGTTTTGGGCCCCACCTGCGGCGGTATAGGTTCACTCCTGGTTCTGTGTTCCGAGATCACTCCTGGAGATGCTCGGGGGAACCACCCGGGGTGCCGGAGGTTGAACCTGGGTTGGTCCCGTGCAAGGCAAGCGCCCTCCTGGTCTACTATGGCTCTGGCCCCAAAGCTTTCAAATTTTAATAATTCGAAGCGGAAATCTTTTCACTGCGGCTGGGCTGTACTCGGCGTTTACTCCTGGCCCTGTGCTCAGGGATCATGGGGCTGGGATCACATACCTGACGTTCTATCTCGCTTTAGAACCTTACTCGGAAATCTCTCTAAAACGTTCCTTATGCTTTGCTTTCTCTTGAAACAGTGGCGACTAGGGTTGAAACGCTTTTGATAATGTTCTTTTTTTTTTTCCTTTTTGGGTCACACCTGGCAGAGCACAGGGCTTACTCCTGGCTCTGCACTCAGGAATTACTCCTGGCGGTGCTCAGGGGTCCCTATGGGATGCTGGGAATCGAACCCGGGTCGGCCGCGTGCAAGGCGAACGCCCTCCCTGCTGTGCTACCGCTCCAGCTCCGCTTTCGATAATGTTCTAAGAGCAGGTATTCTAGAATCAGAAAAGCCAGCGTTCCAACATCTGTCAGTCACTTCACACGCCTCTGCGTCCGGGGAGAAGTCTTCTTCTCCCTTCCCTGAACATCTTCATGGGACACACTGATGAGAAATATTCCTCATGGACGCTTGTGAAAATTCACCATGTATTTCATGGGAAAAACAGTGCAGAGCTTAGAACGTATTAAAAAATAAGGGTTAAGGAATTGTCGGCACCTATGTTTTACATGTGGGGCTGTTGGTCTCTCAAGCGTGTGACCCACCTCAGCTTTAAACTGTCAGGAGGGTGTTTGCCTTGCACGTGACCCACCTGGGTTTTATCCCCACGAGCCCATAGCGTTCCCCCAAGTGCCAATAGGAGTGACCTCTGAGTTCAGAGCCAGGTGCAAGCTCTGAGCACCGCTGGGTGTGGCCCCCAAACCCAAAACCATACTTAAAAAAAAAATCTGTCTGTCCCCCTATGTTCGTGGTTCCTTTTGCAGCAGCCGAGGGCGAATGTTCGCCAGTTCTGTTCTGGGTTCCTGCTCCCTCTCACACACTCATCTGATTAACGCACACACTCAGTGCCTAGGCCCCATTTCAACTGTGCTACTGAATTCTTGGTGTGGCTTTTTCCACGCTCCCTGAGGCATCCCTGAGTGATCACAGAAACGGAAATGGAACTGCATGCTCAGCCAAGCAGCCTGCAAAGCCCCAGTTCCCAGGTGTCCTGGGTCCGTGGGCGCGACTGGAGTCTCCAGGTGGCCCTGGATCTGCCACAGGGCGTGGGTCTCGGTCTGATGCGCTCCAGGCTGACTTCCTGAGGCGCCGCGGACACGCATGGAGTCGGGTCTCCCCACAATGTCAGCACACGTGCTCAAGGCAGGCAGAGGTAAATACTCCACTCACGGGGACCCCAAATGTGGGTGGTCGCCTCGGCTGATGCTCCATAGCCCTGCAGGGAGACCGCTGCCCCCTGCAACGTCCCTATCCGGTTGGGGCCCAGGACTTACAGGACCTGAACATGTGTGTCCGCAGGACCTGCTCTCAACACCAGCATGCCGCCTCTTGGGCTTGTTGAATTCTGGGGGGCCACACATGGTGAGACTCAGGATCACTCCTGGCAGTTTCAGGGTGGGGTTGGGGAGGGAACCCGGACGTGGGGGGGGGGGCGCCCTGCTGTCCTCGTCGCACGTGGGTCGAGGCTAGCGCAGGGAGCCCCCTCTACCGATGAGAACTACAAAGGACTGTCCTGACTTCAGTTAAGGTCATTCTACCAGGGGCTGCAGCGATAGTACAGCAGGGAGGGTGTTTGCCCTGCACGCGGCCTACCTGGGTTCGATTCCCAGCATCCCATAGGGTCCCCTGAACACCACCAGGAGTAATTCCTGAGTGCAAAGCCAGGAGGAACCCCTGCCAGGTGAGACCCAAAAACCAAAAACCAAAAAAAAAAAAAAAAAAAGGAAAAAAAAAGAAGAAAAAAGTCACTCTACCAGACGGAGAAAGAGGAACTGCAGGGAAGAAGCAGGGCGCACAGGAAGTGATGCGGCCCCAGACGGCCGTGGGGGCAGAGGTGGGCACAGGCGCCTGAGCTCCTGAGGAGGAAGCACAGAAGGTTCAAAGGCTCCCTGGTGCAGGGAGCAGAGCTGGACGTAAGCAGGGAAGGGGGAGGGAGAGGGCCAGAAAGAAACCAGAGCTGCTGGCCCCAGGGGCGGGCACTGGCCAGGAAGGGCAGAAGGGGGTCCTGGGGGATGGTGCCAGGAGCTTCCCACGGGAGGAGGCTCCGTCAAGCTGGTCAACTCTGCACCACACCGGAACAGCAAGTGGTGCATCGGAGCCCCTCAGAGTCGGCGGGTTTCACTGGAACCTTCCCTCAGGCTCTCGCTGATGAGGCTGCCCGCCCCACTGACCATGGATTCCTAGAGTGGACGTGCTAGGACAAGCAGGATCTGAGGGTACGTAGCATTCCCTGTTCACAACACCTGGCGGTGTGCAGGGCTTCCTCCTGGCTCTGTGCTCAGGGATCACTACTGCTGGGGTGGGGGTGGGGGGAATCACACGGGGTGCCGGGAATCGAACCCAGGTCGGCCACATGTTAGGCATGCGCCCTACCTGCTGTACTATCACTCGGGCCCTAGCAATTTTCAAGGAAAGAAATTAAACAAACCAAAGCCCCCAAACTTAGTTTATGCCTATCCAGTTCTTTTCTGTTTTGTTTTGCTCAGAGACCACTCCTGGAGGGGCTCAGGGACGGACCACAGGAGGGACCGGGGATTAAACCCAGGTCGGCTTTGTGCAAAGGAAGAACTTTAACCCCTGAACGATCTCTCCGGCCCCCATCCAGTTCTTTATGTTCACAGAGTTCTTGAACTCAGCAGGTAGATTCAGACCTTTTTTCTCAGGTGATCTAAAAGTTTGTGTTTAGATATTTATATACAAATATTCTCTTGAAAGGCTCCCTATTAGGGGAAATATAATTTGTACCTCAATTAGACAAAACTGTCATTCCCCAATTCTAAATACAGTGGATGTTCTCTTTCTTTGGGAGGTTTTCTTTGTGCGGGGCACGAGGGGGAGGTTCTGGGACACAACCGGAAATGCGCAGGGGTCACTCCTGGCTCTGTGCTCAGGGGTCACTACTTGTGTTGCTCAGGGGACCACTGGGAATCAAACCCGGGTCGGCTACATGTGAAAGAAGCACTCTACCCACTGGACTCTCTGGAAGCGTTTTCTTTTGGAGAGTGTCACCTCATTTCCTAGAACTATAATCCCAGTTCAGAACAGCTGAGCCTAGGTGACCAAGTTATGATTTCTCCTCCCCCAACCCCTTCCTACCCTTCTGAATTTCCAAAAACAGTTAAGTCACTTCGACAGCAGGGGAGACGTTTCTGTCGGAACGGACACAGTCACCACCGCAGAAAGCAACAGCTGCCCCAGACGATTCGCAAACAAATCAAACCAAGGCAGCTGATGTCTCATTCCCACCTTCCCCCCCGGGAGTGGGGAGCCCCCGAAGATCTGGAATGATGCCTGGCGGCCCTGAGCATCGACGGGAGCACCGGAATGATGAAGGACCAGGCGAAGGACGTGAAAAACGTCCCAGAAAGCGGCCAGCAGCTTGAGCCGTTCGCTGAGCTCAGCCTCCTAATTTGAAAGGTCTGCCCTCTCCCAAACCTTCCTTGGTGCCTCAGAACTGCCCAGGGAAGAAACGGCTGCTGAGTGGAAGGAAGTGGGCATGGATCCTTCTAGGAATTCAAGGCCCCAGTGAAAACAAACTCCTGGCACCCCACCCCTCCCCCTGGCACAAGCAGAGCACAGTTCTATGAAGGGAACGCCTAAATAACGAAGATCGTGCCTGTGTCCATTAGACTCGGCCCCTGGCAACATGGAATAGCTGAAATCCCTCCCACACGTCCCTCTCACCCGGCTTTGGTTCTCAAGGGCGCGTTTCTATGGCTCAAAAACTCAGGGCACTACTGTCAAGGCAAAACCTGCTTCAGCCCTGACCCCCCTGTATTATTATTATTACTTGCTTTCTTGGGCTGGAGCGATAGCACAGCGGGTAGGGCGTTTGCCTTGCATGCGGCCGACCTGGGTTCGATTCCTTTGCCCCTCTCGGAGAGCCTGGCAAGCTACCGAGAGTATCTCGCCCGCACGGCAGAGCCTGGCAAGCTCCCCGAGACGTCTTCAATATGCCAAAAAACAGTAACAACAAGTTTCACAATTTGTTGTGAGATGTTACTGGTGCCCGCTTGAGCAAATCGATGAACAACATCTTCATCGGAGGGAGGACAGTGGCTACAGGACAGTGCTACAGTGCTACGTGCTTTCTTGGTTCACACCCAGCGATGCTCAGGGGTTCCTCCTGGCTCTGTACTCAGGAATTACTCCTGGCGGTGCTCGGGGGACCCTATGGGATGCTGGGAATCGAACCTGGGTTGGCTGCGTGCAAGGCAAATGCTCTCCCCGCTGGATTATTGCTCTGGCTCCTCTTATTATTATTTTTTAAAAAGCTGCTTCACCAAAAAACAAAGCAACAAACGCACACCCTTTTACCTTTTCTCCTCTCTCCCGGTCTCGATCTCTGTCCTCCTTCTTCTTTTTCTTCTCGCTGTGTCCATCTGTGTGGAGGCCAGGGGGCGGGGGTGGCGGCGGGGGGTGGCGGCGGGGCGCTGGGAGGGGGCCCGGGGGTCAGCGCGGCCTCGCTGACAGGGGCGGGTACGGCGGCGCCTGCTGTCGCAAGTCCCAAGCTCCTCTTGGCCTTGGCGTGCCGCCTCTCGCGGTGCCTGTCCTTGTCCTTGTCCTTTTTCTTTTTGCTCTTCTTGGACTTCTTCTTCTTCTTGATCTCCCGGTACGAGTCGTCGATGACCAGCTCGCCGGCCTCCAGCTCGGCGCCCGAGGAGGACGCCGACTCAGCCAGGCCGGGGTCGAGCCCCGGGAGGTCCAGGTCGGCCCGGTGGGCATCGGGGAACGGCGGGGCATCGGAGGCCGAGGAGGAGCCGCCGCCGCCGTCGGGGCCGGGCGAGGCGTGTGGGTCCGAGGGCGAGCGGTGCTTCCTGCGGGCCGCCTTCAGGAAGCTGGACAGCTCCGGTGCCAGGAGCAGCGGCCCCCCGGGCTCGTCCCGGGCTGCCTTCTTGGGGGGCTTCTTGGCGGCGGTGGCAGCGGCGGCCTGGGGCGCCGTCGGGTAGGGAAAAGGGTCCTCGTCCCCGGGGCCGCCGCCCTTCTCCTGTGGCGAAAGGATCAGCTTCATCTTGAGCCCGTCGGGCTCCCGCAGCGTCAGGGTCTCGGTGTTCACGTAGAGGGGCTTCATCTTCTTGGACCGGTGGGCAGCCCCGTCGTCGGGGGGCGGCTCCCCGCCGCTGCTCTTCTTCCGGTGGTGCTCCCGCCGACTGTCCGAGTGGCCGGGGGTGCTGGGGGGCTTCTCCCCCACCTTCCTGGCCAGCGGCTTGGCGCCTGGGGCCAGCGGGGACGTGATGGCTTTCAACAGGTCCATGGCCGTGTCGGTGGCGGCGGTGGCAGCAGAGGAGGAGGAGGAGGAGGAGGGTGGGCTGGACCTTTTCTTTTTCTTCTGTGATGATTCCAAAGGCGAAAGATCTAGAGACAACCGGAAGAGGTGACGTCCATGTGACAGAAGGCCACTTCCGGCCAACCCGCTTTCTCTCTCTTTCTCTTTCTCTCTCTCTCTCTCACCGAAAGCACCCAACTAACGTGAGGAAGAGCCTCGGAGGAATGATCTGAGGGGAGGCCGGGGGGAGGCCAGGCCCTGTCCCTCTGCCTCCGAAGAGCCGTCCGGCCACTGCAGCCGTGTCCTCTTCGCCGCGTCTTCACAGGCGACCCGAGAGAACCAACCAACCCGGCAGCACGGACTGCGGCGGGTCCCGACCACAGTGCAGGTGGAGCAGCGCAGGGCAGACCCGGTTCTCTGCGCGGGGCGGCGGGGGTCCGCCTCTCCGGTCACGGCTTAACCTGCTCTCCCGAGGAGTGACCCCCGGGGGGGTGGGGGCCACCGGGCCCAAGCCCACACACGGCAGAAGGGGGGGAGCTAGATAACAACGGGCAGCGAGATAAGTGGATGATCGGAGGGGGAGAAGGAACCTGGTACCTGGTGTATCACAAATGAAGACTGTGCTCGTATGCTGAATCCTCCAAATTACCAGCCCTCCACCTCTCTCCTCCTCCACTCTGGTTTACCGGCACTCAGAACCAGAACCACTGTCCTGTTAAATAGGCCACTGCGTCAGCAACATCTGCATCCCTTTCCCCTACCCGACTCCAAGAACCGGGGCCGAGCTGCGTCCGCCCCGCCCGTACCTCCATAGTAGTAGTCGTCGTCCGAGCAGTGCTTTCGCTTCTTCTTGTACGCGTCCGTCCCCAGGAAGTAGAGCTCGCTCTCCTGGAACCAAGGACAGAGGACAAGGGCCGTGAGCGGGGCGCCGGGACAGAGGCAGCCTGGAAACCCATCTTAACGCTTTTCTTTTTCTTTTCTGACTCGGGGGAAAAATGGGGCAAAAACACAGGAGATAATAATAATAATAATAAAAAAAAGACACAAACAAAGGAATGTTTTTCTTAACATACTATTTGAAAAAAAAGAAAAACTTTCTTCAAATATTAAAAATTGGGGGCTGGAGCGATAGCACAGCGGGGAGGGCGTTTGCCTTGCATGGGGCCGACCCAGGTTTGATTCCCAGCATCCCATATGGTCCCCTGAGCACTGCCAGGGGTAATTCCTGAGTGCATGAGCCAGGAGTAACCACTGTGCATCACTGGAGTGACCCAAAAAGCCAAAAAAAGGAAAAAAAAAACCAACTTTCTTCAAATATTAGAAATTGGGGGCTGGAGCGATAGCACAGTGGGGAGGGCGTTTGCCTTGCACAGGGCCGACCCGGGTTCGATTCCCAGCATCCCACTGGGTCACCCGAGCACCGGCAGGAATCATTCCTGAGGGCAGAGACAGGAATGACCCTTGTGCATCGCAGGGTGTGACCCAAAAAGCAAAAAAAAATTAACTTTCCCTACTCGAATGTTCAGAATTTACCTTTAACTTCTTCTTGGAAGAGTTCCTGACCTGAGCAGCGATTTCTTCCTCTTCCCTGAGGAAATCTTTGTAAGAGCGCTTCTTCTCGCGCTGGCTCCGGCCGGCCGCAAGCCCTATGTCCTCGAGGCTGTGATCCCCATCGAAGCAGTCTGGGTGGCGTGAGGTGCCGAGGGGAAAGGGAAGGAGAGAGCCCCATAAGCCGAGAGGTCCAGCACCCACCCCCGGCCAAGCGGCAGCCCCCTCCACTTCCGAATTTAAAGCGCTGGTTTCACTCAGAGTCCATTGCAATACAGGCTACATAGGTCCGAGGGGACAGGGGCATTTTCTGCAAGATGTAGCTGCAAAGAGAAGGCTCAAACCTGGAACCTGCAATGCTTCCAGGCTATGCAAAGGCCCCGGGTGCGTCCTCGGACTTGGTTTCTTAGCTGTGATTTGGCGGGTGGAGGGCACAGGCTCGCAGAGGGAGGGCTGCAAAGAATAAGGGTGGGCGCGCTGGGCTGCTCTGCGGTGTGTGTGTGTGTGTGGGGGAATCGCCCCCAGACGCTACAGACTTAAACTGAGGACTCTCGTGTCGGTCGGGACCCTGTTCTGGTCTAGGTGTCCACAGGCCTGGTGCGGGGGTGGGGGGGTGGGGGGGGTGGGGGGGGCGGGGTGGAGGCTGAATGTCAGGGGGACACTCTGGACCGTCATCGTCTGGGAGTGCAGGCCGGGGCGGCCAGTCCTGGGCTCGAATCTCCACAGGCCACCAAGGGCCGCAGAGGACACCCTCTGGGGAAGGCTTTTTGGGCTCAGGGGCCATACCTTCTTTCTTCACGGAGTCATCATAAGCCATGGCGGTCCTGCAGGGCCTTGGAGAGGGTCACTGCACGCCGGCTCCTCCCGTCCACGGGCCCGGGTCTGAGAAACAAAGAAGGAAAAACCTTCCTGTCACGTGAAATCATACCGTCCAGGAAGTGCCATAAAGAATAAAAAGGAGCGTTCTTGCTAGCTCTCTACTCTGTCTTGAAAGACCCTGCAGGGATCTCAAACCTGTAGGAACTGCACTTAGGTTTGATGTGAATGGATTCAGGAATCCAAGTTGGTGTTTGGAGAACAGAAATATCTCCTCCCCCCCACCCTAAAAAAAAAAAAAAAAGAGCCAGTTCAAAATTAATGAGTATTTCTGAAGTGCCAATAGAACTGACACCAAGACAGGGTGAAAACAGACAACTGGGGCTGGAACGATAGCACAGCGGGCAGCGTGTTTGCCTTGCACTCAGTCGACCTGGGTTCGATCCTCAGCATCCCACTTGGTCCCCCTAGCACCGCCAGGAGTGATTCCTGAGCGCAGAGCCAGGAGTGACCCCTGTGCATCACCGGGTGTAAACCCAAAAGCAAAAAACAACAAGAAGAACAAAAAAACCCCAAACACCAAAAAACCAAAAATAGACACAGCATCAGAGGAATACATTTAACCAAGGTTGCCGACAGAGAGAGAGAGAGAGAGAGAGAGAGAGAGAGAGAGCGCGAGCAGGTTGCAAAGAGGGGCAGGTCATACCTCACATTTGAGACTACACAATCCTACCACCTGAACTGAACACCAAGTGAAATCCAGAATACTGAGATTTCAGCAGAATGATGAAGTTATTGGCTACAAAGATTAGTGCCTGAGTCCTGGTATGTGTTTGGCTGTGGGTCTGCTCAGAATTACAGGAGGGTGCAGACCCACGGTTCTTTTTATTGGATGGCCATGTGTACGGTTAAGTCCATTTTCAAGCCTGGCAAGGGCTGAAGAGAGGAGCAGGCAGGGTGCTGGCCGTGTACAGTCAAACCGGGTCCAATCCCTGTCATTCCAGAGGGTCCGTCCTCTGAGCACTGCCCGGACCGATCCCCAAGCACAAAGTCAGGAGGATGGCCTGAGCATCTAGGGGTGTGTTCCAAAACAGAAGGTATTAAAGGCTAGGCAAAATGAGGGAAAAATTATTCTTTGCCTGCTGGTGTTGAAATCTTTGAAACAGTTAAGATTTTTCACTAAACTGAAGAATTACTCCAATTTACACGGTCTAATTCTTGTTTTGACTTTGTTACTATTCGTCTGTTAGCATCAATTTATATGTCCATTAGAAAAAGAAAACTTTGAGGATGCACAGTCAGGTCAAGCTCTGCAAATACTGAGACCAGGAACTGTCAACCACTGTACAGAAAAGTCTCGCCAAGGAATGTAGAAATTACAAACTAATGATATTAAAAGTGCCTCCACCAGCTACTGAAATTCATAAAGTCAGATATGTTTGGCTAGTTATTTAAGTGTTGTTTTCCCTTTACTACTATAATGGAATTTTAAAAAGCTACTTCTTCAATAAGATACTGCCAACCCTTTTACATAGACATATCACTTTCAGAAAAAGTGAATTTGATTAACAAGAGGAACAGTCATAAATTACATTTTAAAGCGGGGGGGGGGGGGGGCGGGAGACTTAATTGCATAGATAAAATACAACGCCCAGATACACCAAGTTGAGAACAAGGAAAAGCAGCAGAATGAAGGAAAAGAAATTGACTGGGTTATTAATTTTTTAGTTTTCTTTGGTTTCTGGGCCACACGTGGTGATGCCTGGGGTTACACTCAGGGATCACTCCTTTAAAAGCACTCCTGGTGCGATGCTCATGGGACCATATGTAAAATGCTGGAGATTGAACCTGGGTGAGTTGCATGCAAGGTAAATAATGCCTTACCTACTATACTCTCCCTCCAGCCCATGGACTGGATTACTTAAAAGCTAAACAGAACTGCTTGCTCAAAGAGCCTTTTGGTCTCACAGAGAACTATGAAGAGGCAAGTTCAGCCTCAGATGGAAATTACTGTCTTTCCCCTTCCACCCACATGCATTGACTTCAAAAGAGATAAGAACAGGAGAGGCAGAGGGAACTACATTTGGTCACTTGAAAACAGAATATTCTCTCCTTGAGGCTGGAGAGATAGTATAGTGGGGAGGGGCCAACCTGGGTTCGATTCTCAGCACCCCAGATGGGCCCCAGGGACCCATTAGGAAGGAGGAAGCCCTGAGCACAACTGGATGTGACACCCCCTCAAATTAAAAAATTTTTAAAGTTTTTTTTGTTTTGTTTTGGGGCCACACCCGGCGTTGCTCAGGGCTTACCCCTGGCTCTGCATTCATGAATCATTCGTGGTGGGGCTCAGGGAATCAATCGTATGGGGTGCCAGGCATTGAACCCAGGTCGGCTGTGTATAAGGCAAGTGCCCTACCTGTTGTACTATCTCTCCAGTTCCCAAAGAAATACCCTCTTTAAAGATAATACAACAATGATATGACTTCCCAAAACAATTCACCAGAGAATTACAGGTTATGAAAAGGAAAAGAAAATTAAACAAGCCAACACAGAAAACATGTGCTTGTATTAGCATTGTCACTGTCACTGTCCTCCCGTTGTTCATCGATTTGCTCGAGCGGGCCCAGTAACGTCTCCATTGGAGACTTTGTTGTTACTGTGTTAGGCATATCGAATACATCATGGGTAGCTTGCCAGGCTTTGCCATGCAGGCGAGATACTCTCGGTAGCTTGCCGGGCTCTCCGAGAGGGGCGGAGGAATCGGGCGGAGGAATCGAACTCGGGTTGACCATGTCGGCTGCATGCAAGGCAAAAATTAGGCCTCCAATGTTTAGTGATTCATTTAAAAAATTTTTTTCTATTTTATTTTTTCATTCATTTTTAAAGAATTAAATAATCTCTAGTTAAAGAAATAAAAAACCAACAACAGGATTTAAAGGATGAATCCAAATCACTCAGGAAATTAAGATAGTTAAGAGGTTATAAAACTAAAACCAGGGGCCAGAGAGGTAAGTACCATGGGTAGACCATGGTACTACCTTGCACATGGCAGACCCAATTTTTATCTCTGGTACCCCATTTGGTCCTCTGAGCTTGCTAGGAGTGGTCCCTGAGTGCAGAGCCAGGAGTAAGTCCTGAGCACAGCCATGTATGCCCCCCCCCCCAAAAAAAACCCCTAAAATCAGGAGCCAAAGAGATAGCTCAATAGGTCACTGTCACTGTCCTCCCATTGTTCATCGATTTGCTCAAGCGGGCCCAGTAACATCTCCATTGTGAGCTTGCTGTTACCGTGTTTGGCATATCGAACACGTCACGGATAGCTTGCCAAGGTTTGCCATGCGGGTGAGATACCCTTGGTAGCTTCCCGGCCTCTCCGAGAGGGGTGAAGGAATTGAACCCGGGTCAGCTAACCTGGCCGCGTGCAAGGCAAATGCCCAACCCGCTGTGCTAGCACTCCAGCCCAGATCAATGGGTATGCAAGTGATCTGGGTTCCATCTCAATGCTGCCCAGTTCCCCAAGTACCACTGGGTGTGACCCTCTCCCCCCAAATCAAAATGAAATACAATGGAAGACATCACTCTTGCTTGGGCAAACCCAGAATTCTTGGGACTTTTCAAATCAGGCTACTACCGGAGCTCGGGGTTAGTTGTGGTTGCTGGTTTGAGTAGAAGAGATTAAACCGGATAAAGAAATCTCCAGCAAAGTGCAGAAGAAAAGCAGAAGGCAGCGCAACATGGGAGAGCAAAGATCAGATGAGCCTCCCCCACACAAGGCCCTGGATATCCCTTCCTTCCAGGTCTTGACTATCACTCTCGATAAACACAGAATCCGAGGCAGGCAGCAAAGTTCAAGGATAACGAGGATGAAAATAGGTTTGATCTGCACAGTAGGAAAGAGGGGCCGTGACTGCACTGAGTGTTGGGCAATGAAAAGCAGGTGCTACAATCCATTCTGAGGCCTGCGATTTTTTTTGGGGGGGGGAGATGGAATTCAGTGTTGTCAGTTTCAAGAGGTAGGAATTTGACCCCAAGGGGCTCAGCGTGGTGTACCAAGAAAAGATGACTGAACGAAGAGGGCATGGCTGAACAGTGTTCCCGGGGAGGAACTGTCAACTGTGGGAGAGCACTCAGGGAGCGTGTGAATCGCTAAACGGTTCTTTTAGACTTTTTCTTGAGGATATTAAAAAAAAAAAGTCAGGCTCTTCCACTTGCAGAGCAGCCAGAGAAAGTTCTTCAGGCCAAGCATTTGGGGTTACCAAAAGCGACTGGGGAAAAGAGAGGAGCGGTCATACGAGAAATCACCAGGATGTGTACTTCGCGACTCTGAAAGTCCACCTTGAAAATAGGAGGTGTGGGGGGGGGGGGGGGTGGACTGGAATGATAGCACAGCAGGTAGGGCATTTAGCCTTGCAACGTGGGCAACCTGGGTTTGATTCCCAGCATCTCATATGGTTCCCCCGAGCACCGCCAGGAGTAATTCCTGAGTGCAGAGCCAGGAGCAACCTCTGTGCATCTCTGGGTCAGACCCAAAAAGAAAAAAAAAAAAAAGAGGTGGGGAGTATCTGAAGCGTGACCTTTCCCCCTGGGGTTAATCTGAGCCCTAGCGTTCACAGAACAAACTTCTTTATCCTTGAAGGTAAACGAGGATGGAAAAAAGAGGGTCTGAAAGCAGACCCTCACAAGCAAGGCAGGGAGGAAAACTCTGGACTCCAGGGCCAGTGCCAGAGGCAGACTTGTCCCAGATCTCTCTCTCTCTCTCTCTCTCTCTCTCTCTCTCTCTCTCTCTCTCTCTCTCTCTCTCTCTCTCTCCCCTCTTCTTCCAGGCCATCCCAACTCCAGCCACTGCAGGGAAGAGAAGATGCACGTCCAGTGCGGCCAGCTCAGGGCTCTTGGGCATCCAGGAGCTCGGGGCACGTGCTCTCACTTCTAGCCCCGTTTCATCAGATCTCAGATGGCAGCATGTGGGAACCCTGGCACACTCCCCGCTCACTCCCAGGACCTACCAAGGCAGCTACTCACAGCCCTGGTGGTGGTGGGGAACCCAGACTTCTCCTCGCTGTGCAATCAA